ACCTGAACATCATAATGCAAAATTTTTGTCTGACAATTAACATCAAATGTGACAAAAGCGCCGCTTCATAATTGGCCAATTCACTGATCTGATTAATGATGGAGCGGCTTAGTGGCTGAACGGGGAAGTCTGGCGCCTACGATTTCGCGACTCATCTACAAGTAAAAGAGCACGAATCAAAAGCAGAACAGCTGCAATCTTGAGCCGGCCCGCCATACGCACCAACGTGCAAGAATCGATGCAGAGCGCGGATCTTGAAAATCGTATAATCGTCAAACGAGTTCACACGGTTTTTCTCAAGTTTAGGCCTTTCATGTTGCGACTTCATCTGCAAAAAGCTTTCACAAAAAGCGACGGTGTTTTTCTGTACGATGACAACTTTGAATAGTCAAAAAATTTGATAAGCAAAAATAAAAATAAATAAAACCGCGCTTTACTGGCCCAACGGCTGGGTCAGATCTCTTTAATCGGCCTTTCAAGGCAAATGTGGGCCTCCGCGAAAATTGAGAGAAATAACATACCAGTTATCTTAGCATATGCTGAATCCTAGAAATGGCTTGACCTTTCAGTGGAATGTCGGTGGGAACTTTCGTCGTCCAGTGATGATCTGAGAGCAATTTGACTAAGGGCTTACTCTCACAGATATATAAAACACGTACAGAACACTCATACACTAGGCATCGTCCGATGCCCAGCTTATTTACTTCTAGAAAATGCTATTATGTGCATGCAGAAGGCGCTATCACAATTCTATGAGTACACATTGTGAAAGTCCTAGCCTTACAAATTCCTTTCTCCTAAAAAACTTACTTTATGCGAACGCTGTGCAGGTGAAAGCTGGGTCTTTATCAAAATCTCAATCGCAACGATTACCAGATGATCCATCTGCAATGTTTTTCTACCTGAAATAAGAAAAATTAGCAACGATTAGAAACCAAAAACTTGATGAAACAACATAAAAGTTAAAAAACTTGTTAGCAACCATTCAGACAAGTTGAAAACGACAAAAAAGAACTTATTTTGAAAATAGCGCAAACTGTTTATCAGCGCGACGGCTAATTGGTCGCGTTTCGGTTTCAAAGTAGGTTCTGGACGCTTAGATTTCCACGGGCTCTGGAAATTCCGGGGTCTACCGGGGACGTGGTTTCCGTAAATCCGTGGCTCGACTCTTGCGACGTCACCGCGAGCGGACCGCCTAACGTCGCGCCTTACCTGACAGCTCCAATAGTTGAGAGTGTTCTCCGGAACACCCCAAGAGCTCTAAGCAATGAGTATCTTCGAGATCATAGATTGGATGACCTCAGTATGCGAGAGTTTTCTGAGTCGGGGGTTGGCCGCGTCCCTCTCCGTAAATATAAAAAGTATGCGCTTCTATTAGTTCAACTTGACGGTTGAGATGCAATAATCAGATTAGCAAACCAGCATAAGTTGTATGAATGTGCGTCCAGAATTTTATTCTGATAATTGGCAACTTATTCACATTTCTGTCAGAATCTCTGAAATTATCGGTTCCCAACTTCAAAATATTGAAAAATTGCTAAGACTTCCACCTCAGTATAGAACTTTTGAAGTAAGAAACGTGAATATTCTTCAACCAAAGCGCTTCGTTGATAAAAACTCGCCACTATTACGAAAGGAACCCTTTAGTCTCCACAGTGATTTTTAATTGCCTTCAAGTCCCGCTTACATTTGAGTGATCCTACACTTTTTGTCTTGTGGACACATGATCACACACCTCAAAAAGTTTCAAAAAAAGTGTCGAAACGGTTCCGGTTGATGTCATTGATAAGGAAATGTAAACATTGCGACAATGCATATAAGCTTGATGCAGTTAGGCAAATCGTTTACTTTTCCCACTCATATAGGCTTGGTGAGCACTGCCGAAGCCAAGTACGGAGTGAACAATTTTGGCTTTGATTTCTTTGAGGGTAGTTCTTCGTCATTTTGACCCAAATCTAGAAAAATTGTACCTATTCTGGCACATTACAAAAGTAAATAGAGAGACCATATAAATCTACATTATTGCCGGTTACTTTCTTGCCTAAAGGCTTATGACAGCTCAATGTTTTATATGACAACAACGAAATCTTGAGTATGTAGAATTTGTCATGCTTCTTTTCAGCAAAAAATGGGGTCAATACTAGTCACATATCTTAAATTTAGGGCTATCTATTAAATTGTGTTTTTTGCTTCATTTTCTGTCAGCCATGACATAAAAACTGATAAAGCAATAGATGCACCCATAATATTTTTTGCCTGCATGATTATTTTCACTTATTCACTTGAAGAATGCTGTACAGCTGAAGCATGGTTGCTTCTTTCTCTCAATTTTTCGGAAGCACAATCCAGAAACTTATTGTTCATGCAGCAATTCGCTCACAAATTGATTCAACTGTCAAGTGAACTTGGAAATTCCGTTTCTAATAAAATTGCATTTGTCTTGCACTTCATTTTCTGCCGACTCATTTTTCTGTAGGCTATATAGAGATCCTCTAATATAAATTGCTCGTGTAAGGCTTATGCAGAACTGAGAGTAGCATGTTTCGCCTGCTCAAAGCCTGACCAATCGCAAAGACCTGACCAGTCAGAGGCACGTCACCAAGGCGATCGGTTCAAGGACGCCTCCTTCCCCCCCCCCTTCCCCGTTAGGCACAAACAGTTCTGCACATTCAATGGTCAAAATTCGCGTTCACCAACAAAATAATTGATTTCTTTATATTTAGATGACTCGCATATGCGAGACATTCGTCCTTATAAGATAACTTTTTGGAACGTTTGTTACATTTACTGTGCATGGTCGAGTACCTGTGAAGTCAGCGCAGGGAGATACAGGGTAGGAATGGCTTGTAATATCAATCCCGATAGTCAGCTTATGGTGAGACCCGCCTTCAAAGTGAATGTTTGAGTGCACCGCATGGACTTTCACGGACATCTACCCCCAACCTGCACTTACTGAATCCAAAAAAATTAGCAAAGAGACTCAGAAGCTTTCATTCACTTTGAAGTTGGGAATGTACCGCTAATATTCAATCCGAAGTTCGTGTAGCTTAAAAGGAAAAATAGATCTGAGGTGATTTCCAAGGCCTTAAGGCCTTGGAAATAATCTCAGATATTTTATATAATTTATTGTATATATAATGCAGACATAATAATGTCTGCATTGTTTTTTTGAAACAATTAAATGAAGTGATTGCTGACTCTTACTGTATTCTTTGCAAAAAAATACTTGCAATTTTGCAATTTTCTCTATGGGGCAGTGCAAGCGCACCGCTTTAGTCACGCAAGCAATAGGCAATCATGTCGTGCAAGCGCCAAGCTTTACCCCTGCAAACGGTAGGCAGCCATACCGTGCGAGCGCCAAGCCTTACCCCTACAAACACTAGGCAGCCCCACCGTGCGAGCGCCACCCCTTACCCACGCAAACGGAGGGCAGCCGTACCGTGCGATCGCTACAAAGTAAATGCGCAAACGACAGGCAATAGCGTCGTGCAAGCGCTACACCTTACCCTTGCAATCGGACCTTCACCACCATACAATCGCACACACCGACGAGCGATTGTAGCGGCACTGCAGACTGCCCGCACGGTGCGAGTCCCTGAGTTTCTACACATCTTAGGATAGATCATGTAAGTACAGTGCGTTACTTGTTTATGCTAGGGTGCTGCATTTAGAAAGGTAACAGTCACACTTATGCCACGATTTACAGGAGTCTCATTTTTTGACCAAAGATAGAACGATCTCAAACCTCATCAAAAATTCAAGCTCCACTGCCTCACATACTCTCGTATTGCCAGTGCTCTAACAATAAGATGCTGCTATTCTTACTACTGCTGCTGCTAAAGTCTCTTATACCTGTCCTTTCATATAACGAACCATTACATCAGGGTAAGTATTGAAGTTGATTCTAGATACGTGACAAATACGGCAGGTTAAGGTGAATTTCATAATGGATCCATCATAAGTCATCGTGCCACGAACCTCACTGGGAGGGCTCTAGTCGATTACGTCAACAGAAAGCAGTCGCTGTGGAAGGTGCAGTCATAATGATCAAAATGAGCACTTTTATAGTCTACAAACTTCAGGCCGAGTACATTTCGCACTCTTCATCGTTTTTGAAGAAGCGACTGATGGATACTAAATACTTTGATGACACAAGAACTGAGAAGATAAAATCGCGGCGAAACCTCGATGTAGAACTCCCTGAAAGGTGATTTTAAAACTATATAAAGCGAAAATATTCATTACTGTACGACAAATTTCAGATTTGATGCACGGGAGAAATGGCCGGAGTGCCCTTCGATAAGCTATATTCGCGATCAATCCGGCTGCGGTACGTACGATTGCTCTGAAGTCATTTTTAGAAAAAACTGAACCTAAGTAATTTCACTCTGATTCGTTTTAAGAAACTCAGCGCAAAAAGGCTGCAATAGAAGAATGAAGAGTATTAGGGTGTCCCATGATTTTTTACCGTTTTTACCCTAGACGTCAGCATTTCTCCGGAACTGGGGCAGCTTCAACGGATACAAACACATGGTCGTACTTCTGTATGTAAGAGCCATATGATCACGTGCGTGGGAGGAGCTGCGGACGTCTAGGGGCAAAGTTTGTCATTTTGCTCCTTTCATTTTTTTCTTTGTTTTGAACCATGGAAAAAATACAGAGTGTACAGTTAAAGTCTGATGTGTCAGGCATATGCTACAACAAATGGGGAGTTCTTAGGATTTTTTGGGGAGAAGATACGATTTTTTACGAAGATACGATTTTTCTGCCCGCACGGTGCGAGTCCCTGAGTTTCTACACATCTTAGGATAGATCATGTAAGTACAGTGCGTTACTTGTTTATGCTAGGGTGCTGCATTTAGAAAGGTAACAGTCACACTTATGCCACGATTTACAGGAGTCTCATTTTTTGACCAAAGATAGAACGATCTCAAACCTCATCAAAAATTCAAGCTCCACTGCCTCACATACTCTCGTATTGCCAGTGCTCTAACAATAAGATGCTGCTATTCTTACTACTGCTGCTGCTAAAGTCTCTTATACCTGTCCTTTCATATAACGAACCATTACATCAGGGTAAGTATTGAAGTTGATTCTAGATACGTGACAAATACGGCAGGTTAAGGTGAATTTCATAATGGATCCATCATAAGTCATCGTGCCACGAACCTCACTGGGAGGGCTCTAGTCGATTACGTCAACAGAAAGCAGTCGCTGTGGAAGGTGCAGTCATAATGATCAAAATGAGCACTTTTATAGTCTACAAACTTCAGGCCGAGTACATTTCGCACTCTTCATCGTTTTTGAAGAAGCGACTGATGGATACTAAATACTTTGATGACACAAGAACTGAGAAGATAAAATCGCGGCGAAACCTCGATGTAGAACTCCCTGAAAGGTGATTTTAAAACTATATAAAGCGAAAATATTCATTACTGTACGACAAATTTCAGATTTGATGCACGGGAGAAATGGCCGGAGTGCCCTTCGATAAGCTATATTCGCGATCAATCCGGCTGCGGTACGTACGATTGCTCTGAAGTCATTTTTAGAAAAAACTGAACCTAAGTAATTTCACTCTGATTCGTTTTAAGAAACTCAGCGCAAAAAGGCTGCAATAGAAGAATGAAGAGTATTAGGGTGTCCCATGATTTTTTACCGTTTTTACCCTAGACGTCAGCATTTCTCCGGAACTGGGGCAGCTTCAACGGATACAAACACATGGTCGTACTTCTGTATGTAAGAGCTATATGATCACGTGCGTGGGAGGAGCTGCGGACGTCTAGGGGCAAAGTTTGTCATTTTGCTCCTTTCATTTTTTTCTTTGTTTTGAACCATGGAAAAAATACAGAGTGTACAGTTAAAGTCTGATGTGTCAGGCATATGCTACAACAAATGGGGAGTTCTTAGGATTTTTTGGGGAGAAGATACGATTTTTTACAGAAAAGTTCGTTTTTGGGTGCTATCGGATTTCAGCTCAAAGCTTCATGTGGAACACGATTCGTGCGGACCGGTGATAGCTAACTTGTAGAGCTTGCTTTGCCCTGCCGAATAATTACTTGATCCACTTCAACTGAACGAAAGTTAGAAAAAGACGACGGTTGTAGCAAAAACGGTAAAAAATTATGGGACCCCTAATAAATAAGCATAAAGAAAGCAAAGTCGTTTTTCCTCACTTGACATCCAACTGGAGAAAACAAAGAGCGGATACCATATAATACTAGGTCATTCCGAAAGTAATTTCGCTTTTTTTAAAGGGCCCACTTGTGATGGAACAAAGATCTCAAAGAGATCTTGGTAGCAGTCGATGCAGAATTTCATCCTCTTACTAGCAGTAATGAAACCGTTGCAACATAATCATTGAGCTTTCGGAAAATAACCAAAACCTGCGACCCATGCTTTTTGAGATGGTCAAGTTTCACAATTTTTCAACACTTTCATATCAACCCTCAAAAGGAGTTCAAGTAACGATTAGATAGAGCAAACCCTACGGGATACGAAACAATTTTTTCTCTTTCACATACTTCCTCAAAATCTTTTAATAACATTTCAACTGATGCTACCAATTTGCATACTTGGTCAACTCAAATCTCGTAGAACATCAATGAGAGAGCACTTGGGTGCTGTTTGATGCACCTTTTTCTCCTCTTTCTAATAGATGTTTTTTGTTCCCGATTTGTTCAGTCTTCGGGGCTAAAATCATCATAACTCATGTTTTTGAAAGCGCCCAAGGCTGTACCCAAAAAGCTCGAAGTTCAGTATTTCGAATCCGCAAACTTTCATTTGCTTTACAAAATCAATATTAAGCCATATATCATTTTGGAAACTTCAAATTCCGAGTAATTATTGATTGATGCGATTGTGGCTGACGTAGGCCTGCCAAAATCGATAATTTTGGTAAAAAAATCCTTTGTAAAACTACGGCGAGCTATGAAAAAGAGAAAAAAGTAGTGCTGTTTCTATAAGGTTTACTCTATCTAATCGTTACTTGAACTCCTTTTTGAGGTTTGATATGAAAGTTTTGAAAAATCGTGAAACTTGAACATCTCAAAAAGCATGGGACGCAGATTTTGGTTATTTTCCGAAAGCACATGAGTGCGCTGCAACAATTTCATTACTATTAGAAAGAGGATGAAATTCTGCATCGAATACTACCAAGATCTCTTAGAGATCTTTGTTCCATCACATGTGGCGTCCGTTTGAAAAAAGCGAAATTACTTTCGGAATGATCTAATATATATTCCCTTTCAAACTGACTAAGGTTAATCAGCTTATTGAAGAGGCCTCAACTAGACACAGACTTTTTCCAAAACCTTTTGATTTTTTCCTCAGCAACCTAAGAAATGCCATGAACTACTGGAAAGCCATGTAATATGCGTATGAATAGTTCTAATGATACTAAAGCGCCTTAAGACCCTGACGAAAACTCCGAAAACTCTAATCAATGCCCTTCAGGCTCATGTTGGGCCGTATCGTCTGCTGGAGTGATGAGTGATCGGGCTTGCATACAGTCAAACGGGACAGTTAAGGTTTGCTGTACAGACACCTGATAAAATTTCATGCAAATTTGCTTTATAGGAGCACCTCTCCGATACCGACATTCTCGCTTGCTGCGGAGAATCTTGTGGGAAAGGGTACGAGTTAAAATAGTTTTCTGTTACCTAGAACCTCCCTTATAACTTCCTTCTAGGTGCCTAGGCGGTGTCATGGATAAAGCTTTCGAGTATGCCATGACCTCTGGTGTTTGCACCGGAGGACGATATCGTGAGCAGGTACTTCATGCTTATATCTAAATCCTAAATTCAAAATCTGCAAGGTCGGACGCGTTGTAAGCCGCGAACCTATAAATTAGAACTCCTGGAGCTGTTCTTGACCTGTATTATCTGCCGTCTTAGGCCTCGGACAGAGTTCACCGATTTGATCGTCGCGATTCAATCGCTACATGACAACTGTTACGAGTTCATTGCATGCAGATCAGTTTGCATTTTGGTATTGCGGCATTTGAAAAGGGGCGGAGCTTGCCACCCAGGGGGCGGGGCTTTCATAATGGGGCGGGGTCAAAATTAAGATTATTTAAAATTCCCCAGTCATCTACGAGCCTTTCTGTGCGATTTGACGAAAAAAGTTTTTTGTAGAGGACAACGGAGTGGGCGGAGTTTGCCAAAAGAGGAGCCAACATGAAAAACTTCTGAGCCTAAATTGATTATGTGAACACACATTGGAACCATTTTGCACATTAGAATTGGGATTTAGGGTGTCGCGCACCATTGCGCGACATCGTCCACAGGGACAGACTGCCTGTCGCGCAGCATTGCGCGACACTGTCGTCAACGTGTTAAATCGCGACGATCGAATCGCTTGAACTCTGTCCGAGGCCTTAAATCAGTCATTTTCGCGCTTTCCTTCCTAGTACGTAAATCAGCACATATACTTTCAAGAGCTGCAAACCTTACGCATTCTATCCATGTGGACAGCATCAGAACCAGCCATTTTATGGAGATTGCCCCGACGAGGAAGAAGGACCATTTCCAACGCCAAAATGCAGAGCGAGGTGCAGGTTGCGATACCCTCGCTCCTACGAAGAGGATAAAGTCTTTGGTGAGTAGACGTTTTAGTAATTGAGAAGTCGCCAGAAATGTTGCCATTTGATGACTGAATATGTAGTTAGCTTAGAAGATGGAAGAAAAGGAGAGCACAGCCTTGGACCTCTCAAGAAAACAGTTTGTAGCAGACCTATGATGTTGATTCCACATCTCAGAAAACGTTTCAAAAGTATTGTTTTGAGAAGTATTAAGTAGTTTCGTTGTTTCTCCTTTCGTTTTGGATCTTGGCCGCAACAAATATTATTATTCTTACAAGGAATGCATGTTGAATCAAAGTGGCCTTTTAAGATGGAATGTAAACCATATTAAAGGGCATAAAACGCTGGTTTCAAATCTGTGTTTCTTATCTGCAGAATGTTTATGGACGAGGAGTTATGAGCGCTTATTGGAGCAAAATAGCCGGAGTACTTTTTCTAGCTCTCCCTCAAATAAAAATTATATCGCACTTGGTCGCAATATTTGAGGGTTAGCAAGATTTTTAGCAACTCATTTATCCGCATTGCGCATTCAATCTTTGGCAAAAAACGCTCTCAAACTTCTCGCCCATAAACGTTCTGCAAAAAGGAAGGCAGCTTTGGAGTCAGCGTTTTATGCTTTTCAATACGCTATACATCTCATTTGAAAAGGCCACTTCGACTTAACAAGCTTCCCTTTTTAGTTTCTAATAAAGTTCTTCGATTCCTTTCACTAGATTTGAACATTTTCATGAAGTTTAGTCCACATAAAGTACGAAGCCAAAATTCAAATGAAATCTAACGTGCGAAAATTGAAAATGATCGATTTTTGTCTGAAGGTATTTCACGTGCCTTTGTTCCCTAACGCAAAGCCCTTATGGACTGCCTAATGTAAGGGTGACTTCACACCGCGCCGGCAGGCCGCTAGCCGCCTGTAGCCGATTTAGCACACTATCCTAGTATTCCGAGGCCTTTATAACACGTCAGATGATTAGCTATTTGTAATCAGAATGCCGAATATAGCCATTAAACCAAATTTGAGCAAGATTCGTGGTTTCGATATTGGGGGCCCAGTGAAATAGTGCGCAAAGGCGGCTAACGGCGGCTGCCAGACGGTACGAAGGCATCAAGGCAAGTCAAACCGCGGCGCCTCAACGCAGTATCAATCGCGCTATCAGTCTCTGCTGACCACTCTGCGGAAATGTAAACTTGTGCGTTTCCAATGAAAAGGAGGTTCGTGTAGACTTAGTCGAGTGGCTGATCATTACATTCCAAAAAACAAGGCATGGTTTGAGACTGCTAAGTGACTTTGCTATCTGATACCCGAGGTCTATCTGATAGCGAACACTATCTGCTTCGTTCAATTTGCTGCCTACTTTCAACTAACCGACATCGCGGTAAACTGACAGCCGCTTTTGACCGGTTAATCTTCAGGCAGTTTAACTTGCGATGTTGAGCATGGGGAGCAGGGTTCGTAATAAAATGCGAAGCTCTTCTGAGAGGGTCCGCTCATTATGGTTGACGGAGGGATTGGTGATCATAAATCACCACATAAACCATTCTTATAGTTGCTGTTTCCGGCTCGAAATCAAGAAAACGAGAATTATTATGTTTGCAGAAGAAATGTTCACTCGTTCACACATAGGTATTCGACAGTGGCGGTCCCAGGATTTCTCTCCGGGGGGGGGGGGGGGGGACGGAGCGCGGAAAAAATTTTTTCAAATGAAAGTGCGTGGCGTCAGCCACGCACTTTCATTTGAAAAAAAAACGCACCCGAAAAAATTTTTGGGGTGCTTCTTAAAATTTTTTCGGGCCCTAGACCCCTAAAATCTAGAAAAAGGGGCACGGCGCCCCCCCCCCCCACCCCTCGATCCGCCACTGGTATTTGATACTGCAAGCCTTTATAAGTACAATCGTAAATTTCTGATTTGCTATATGAGGTGATGTGGAAACGGTTCAGCATTGCTTTGGTTAAAGCAAAGTAATTTTCGTTTCTTTGACTTCAACTCACGGGAAAAAAATCATAGCAGCTCCAAAACTCTTATGTAAAGAATGTGTGCGTTAGTCCGAGTTTCGTATTTTGTGGACAGAAGACCATGGAATATTTAGGTCTTGGGTCAAGTCAAGTAGATTAAACACCGTAAAAGAAACGCCATTTGGTAGATCCTATTGGCCTCTATCGGATTCCCTTACCCTTATTCACAAAGGGAGTATTATGATTTATTACAATCACTGATATGAAATGAGCAAATTGCTTGCGCATTTTTCATACACTTGTATATTGATTCGATAGCATTCAAGACTCATTTTTGGTGTAGAGAAATCTCTCCGCTGGCACTTTAGGATTCCACATATTTCTCCCAACAATCACACTCAAGTACGAGGTTTCGTGTCGAAACTCGGTGAGAAATTTGCTTTCGCGACCTCCACATCGTGCCAACAACCCATTGGGTGAGGTATGAAGATTCATGAAAAAACACACCTTAAATCTCGCTAAGCCGCTTTCTTTGAATATAATATGCGCAACTGCCCACAAAAATCCTACGAGAAAAGCGATTTGTTCTTAATTGGAACGGAACTGCTCTTTAGTGAAAAGAAAGAAGAAAATTCAGAACTGGGGTGATTTTCGCAATGGAGGGTGGGCGCTGTTGATGGACTGGAAACTTTTTTTGCTAGATACCGATTTGGCTTTCAAAGTTCGGAAAGATTACCTTTTAGCTTTCCTTCAAGAGCACAGAAATCACATGTGTTGTAGACAATAATTATTTTATATTCTCAATGGAACAATGTTTTCTGTTTTCTAATCGGCTCAGATGGTGCAAGGTTTCAGCAGAGAGCTATTACTCACTCGAAAACGACGAAAAAGAAATCATGTACGAAATCATGACTAATGGACCTGTTGCGACCACATTTATGGTTTATGAGGATTTCGAATTCTACAAAACAGGCGTTTACGAGGTTCGCAAATGGTTATTTCCTGCGATGCAAAATTCTCTCGTGAATCTATTGTCTGTTCCTCGTTCAGCATACCTCTGGATGGTTAGTTGGACTACATGCAGTTAGGGTTATTGGTTGGGGAGTCGAGGGAGAAACACCATATTGGCTGATTGCCAACACGTGGAATACGGATTGGGGAGAGAACGGTAAGTGCGCTGCTATCGAATAACAAACAGTCACAGAAATCCTCAAAACAGGGTACTTCCGTTTTCTACGCGGTAAGGATCACTGCAAGATCGAAGGAAGAATGAAGGCAGTTATGATGAAAGTGTAAATAGAAATTTTTCTCTCATTTTGACCACTTATATCATTGTATTTGCTTTGTATATAAATGAATAAAGAGATTTTATCTATGTTGCAAAAATAAATGTGGAGAGATACAAATGGTACCACTGAGTCATGGAGTGCTAGATAAAAATGTGGTAATTTACTGGGTGTCTAAACATTGTTAAACTTAGGAGAACACCGCTTGCTTGAGAATTTAACCCAAAAACACTAGACACCTTTCCTGTAAGAGTGATCAATGAATTACCACTTTTTTCTTTAGCACTCTATGACTCAGTGTACCGTTCCAAAAACGTCTGAATAGTTTTAGTTCTCAATGCATTGATCATTCTAACGTTAAGTTCTGGTGTAATCATTTCTCTGAAACTTCCTTCTTATTTTCTTTTCTCGCTTAATAACAAACTAGTTGGCAAACCCGGCTCCGCCCGGGCCTGTCAATAATATATTCGTAATCAGCATGCGCGATTACCCCCCTGTGCCAACTCCCAACCCTGTAGCTCAAATTTTGCAAAAAAATCGATAAAATCGATATCGATCGATAACGAAAAGTAGCCTATGACACGCTCCCTGCCCCGAAGTATATGTGTGCCAAGTTTGGTCCGAATCGGTTCAGAAATAAAAATTTCTATTCCGCACATACGTACAGACATACAGACATACAGACAGACAGACAGACATTCAGCTTTATATTAGGTTGTACCGAAAGTTCTGTCGTTTCATTTTTGAAAATTTGTAACTTTGCGCTGTTTCAGCGGATTTGCTTGCCTGTAATTTTATTAGAAAGAACAAGTCTTTCTCTTTCAAATGCTTTTTTGCGGAGCTTCTGTTTCATTGGGTGCGGAGATAAAAATGGAAAACTAAGAGCATGTAAACTTTGACCATTTTAAGTTAGGTCACCAAAAATCTGTAATGCTGCAGAAAAATCTGAAATCGTCAGTACATATGTTTTTTCACCTACCCTTTGCATCTGTGAAAAAATTGTGCTGTTTGGACGTCTCTGTGAGAAGTTATGAATAACGAGTTTACTATGGAAAACGCCAAAATTAATTAATTTGTCAAATTGTCGCGCAAATCATAACTTCTCACAGAGACGTCCAAACAGCACAATTTTTTCACAGATTCAAAGGTTAGGTGAAAAAACATATGTACTGACGATTTCAGATTTTTCTGCAGCATTACAGATTTTTGGTGACCTAACTTAAAATGGTCAAAGTTTGCATGCTCTTAGTTTTCCATTTTTATCTCCGCACCCAATGTGAAACAGAAGCTCCGCAAAAAAGCATTTGAAAGAGAAAGACTTGTTCTTTCTAATAAAATTACAGGCAAGCAAATCTGTTGAAACAGCGCAAAGTTACAAATTTTCAAAGATGAAACGACAGAACTTTCGGTACAACCTAATATATAAGATATGTCATTCCTCTGTCCTCTGATGCCTTTGTGAACATGTACATATGTCGCAGACTTCTTACTGAGGAAGTATTGAGCTCAGCAGTGCTTTTAGTCGATGAGTCGTAATGTGCAAAAGAAATTAGACAATGTTGATTGGCGACATCATGACCAAAAACCTGTTCTTTCCAACACTCTCGTTATCACTTTTTTCGAAATAGCAAAATATGTACATATGAAAATGGCGATGTTACAATGCAGAACTGTCGTGATTTATTTTGACCAAACCACGCTTCTACGCATCAAATCTGTAGACGAGTAAAATTCGGTGCAGATTGATATCGTATCACTCAGACTATACCTATTTATGACAGAAATCATACAAATTACCGCAACGTGGCGGATATGAAATTGCTCTCTAACTAAAAAATAAAGAAAACACGAAACACGCATTTTCTCATGTTTTTCGTTTTCCGTCAAAGATTCAGGGCATTACTATAATGCGGTCATTATTCTATAATCGGAGCAATAATACAACCTGTCTGCGAAATATGTGAAGAGAATGGCAGATAAACAAACGTGTGAATTAAAAAATGAACAAATTCCTTATTCAAACTTTAGAACATACCAGTTTGACTCTATGGTATATCGTGTATGCGGAAATGAATGAGGAAATTGAGACTTTGGTAAAAAGATTTTACCGTATTCTCCTAAATTAGCTCGTTTCAAAAGTTATGTGCCTCAGTTTCAGAATCGGTAGTTTCCTCCGCCTGCGGCACGATTATATTTGAATTTGTGAATTTGGAAAAAGGATATTATGCCCCTCTCATTGGTGCTCAAAGCAACGTTGGTTTATATAGGGAGAACAAGCTAACAACTATGATGAATATGCTGTTTATCGAGTTTCTGATGAATAGAATTTTCTTGTGGGGATGCAGAACTTCCATTAATGTATGCACTCAACCAGCACTGTTTCAGAAAGTGTTCCGGTTTTTTTCTATGGCGTTATTGCTTGTTCTGGGTAATGTTGCATAGGATCACATGGAGATATGTAGAAATAGTTCAGAAAGTAGCTGTCAAGTGTCGGAAAACAGATTAACAAGAGCATTTGGTGGTCTCGATACCGGATCATTCTGATATTGATGACTCATTAGTGCATGGCTCGCACTTTGAAAGTGCATAGGTTAGTGCTATGTAGAAATCTCTCTAATGATTTATACTATAGATATAAAATCCGTCACTTTTTCGCTTGGTGAATAAGTTTTTTCTTGTGTAATTTTGTAATAATCGCATTCTCCTTTTATCAATCGAAATTTCCGAATTCTGTTGTGAAAATGTTTTATTTTTCAGGTAAACTCTTTTAACATGTATACAATTTTCACAGCAGCAATATTTTACGCGCTAACTGGGTATAGCAGAGGTATGTCAGGGGTGGCTTACAAAGAAGGTCCGTTTGGTCGAAGTGGCCTTTTCGAATGAGTCCTATACCACGTTGAAGAGCATTGAACGCTGATTCCAAATCTGTTTTCACTATCTACCAAGCGCCGCTAGACGCCGAATTATGAGTGTTTTAGGGCAAATGATGATAGAATTTGAACATAGCATAGATACAACTATTACGGTGTTTTCAAGTTCCAAGTAGAGCAGTGTTGAATATGAGTGTATTAGACAGAAGTTACCAGAATGCAGAACCGTTATAATCAAAGTGGATTATTTGAGCAATTCTGAACGAATTTTCGCTGTAGTTGCGCTTCAATTTTTCAGCCACAGAAACGCTCACTCGGCGTCCAAAAGCGTTTAGCAGGTAGTGAAAATAGATTTGAAACCATCTTTCATTGCTCTTCAAAGCACGTATAAAAGTCACATAAAAAGACCACTCAGACTAAACGGAGCTCCCTTATTAGAATCGCAACTTGATTAGAAAGCAAATCTGATCTTCCACTTATTCTCTCACAGAGGTCGTGATTTTAGGATTTTCTTGTTTTGATGTGCTGCCACGCTTAGATGCGGCTATAACTTACAGTGACGACAATACTGGAGAAACGAACTTGTTGAAATTGCACAGCAATGGAACAATAGCCACGATGAGGTGCAACGATGGCTTATCAGTAATAGGTAAGAACTCTGAAAGGTCTACGAAAAAATAATTTCAACTTATTCAAAGCAAATCAGGTTGCGTTACATAGTTCACATGAACAGGGAGTTGGAACGAGAGCCCCCGAATATCTAAAAAGGGGCGTCTGCGACTGAGTGGAGTTCAGGGTACGATCCATCGCAACCACTCATGACACATCAGTCTGAAACCTTTTGCGCATACACTTTCTATGATGTACTTATTGATGCGGAACAAAGAGGTGTCAAGCCATCACGCGAATGTTCTGAAAGATTAGTGGTGATGTAGTGCAAGTGCACTAGCAGCTGATTGCACGCAAAAGATGACCATACCAACATTTAAAACTGTGGAGACACCATCAGTTTTTCTGGGAAACGTTCCTTATAGAGAATGTCACCAACGTGATTCAAGAATTTGTTCTCAGAAGGATGGTGGGGAAAGGGGGGTGTATGTTAAGAGGCGAATCCGTATTGTCAAACGGATTCCATATAGCGCCTTTTTAGTGTTAAATAACGTTCTAGAAGCCTTTTAAACTTATGAAAATTGGACATTATTGTTGCGCGAGTATTTCAATTTTATCGTATTGAAAAAGATTCAAAACATAATTGTTGGAAGTCAGAAACCCACAAAAATGCAACTAATGGCAATTTTAGATATTTCGATCAGTTCTTCACCAAAAACCGTCAAAATTGGTAGCAGACAGTGGCGTACCGAGGGCCCTTCCCGAGAATGGGTCGCGAAATTTTTGAAAGTCACGGGTTAGAAGACCGAAAAAATCTTGGGAATCATACCAAAAATTTTTTCGGAGTGCGTGGCGTTAGCCACGCACCTTCATCAAAAAAATTTCCGTCGCCCCCCCCCCCCTCCCGAGCGGAATCCTGTGTACGCCACTGGTAGCAGATGGTAACTTCAGATAGCTAGCAAGCTAGAGCACTTGGTCTGGATTTCTTGAAAGACTTGCATAGTTCTAGATCGTGATGCTGACTTAGTGACCTCTGGAGGAATCGCGCCTCTTGATCGTCTCCTGGGAAGGGGGGGGGGATTGAATCGACAGAATTGCTTTCAAATAAAAGGGGTGAACGTGCATTAGGCATGCCCTCCTAACATTTTCAAGAAGCTTTCCATAATTTTCGCAGGTACGTGACTGTGAAACATTGGAAAAGGAGGCTTAGTGTGAACCACGCCCCAAAGATTTGAAGCCAATTTACATTTCAAAATTTATATATACATTTTTTTCTGTAAAGCGCCGAAAGTCTTATCTACAATAAAATTGCAGGTGTTCCTATGTTAACGTGCGTTAATGGATTATGGCAACCTCTAGATTTTGGAACCTGCACTCGTACTAATACCTTGATTCCTAATATCGAAACAATAACACTTCCTAGCTTAAGTGAGTCAAGCTTGAGAAAGGTTTTAGGCATCTATCAAAGAACATTCAGATCTTCCATGTCCACCTGTGATTACACCTCCATTCTCGACTGTCAGTTATTCCGCCTCGGCGAACAATCAAGGGCTTCTACCTGGCATGTACAGCAATGGAACAGTTGCAGTAATGAGATGTGATGACAATTACTACTTAACAGGTAGAAGTGCACAATAATAATTTTTTGATTATTTTCTCATCTAGCATCCTACAGTAGTTCTTGTCTCGACAGCCGCATGCGTACCCTATAATTTAACTGCTGGCCGCCAGAAGACGAAGCTTTGTGACCTAATTAAAGCTACATGATGATAAGAAAGTACGCGCGCGACAGAGACGCAGCGGCCTTAATTAGGTCACAAAATCCCGCCTTCCAGCCGCCAGTTGAATCAAAGGTTACTTCTTCTATGCATTTCAGTTTGCACATTCCAAAATAACATAGCCTTTTCCTTTGCGGAATCGTCTTTGTGTAGCTCTTATTCTTTTCATCATCTCCTCAATCGTGGTTATGATTCTACTGTCGACTGCCTGCTTTACTGCAGCAGAAGTAGCAATTACACCAAACGATGTTGAAATGAGAAAGTCCGTTTACTTGTTGAAAAAAGCCTGTAGTACTTCTTAAAATTCCTGCAGACACCCAAGAACAAAAGACATGTATTTTTACCTTGTTGCAGGTTCCATGTCGTCAACGTGTCTGAATGGGATTTGGTCTCCTCCTTTAGGAATATGCTTGATCAATCCAATCTTACCGATCACATTGCCGACTAATATCACTATTCCTACAATCCCGCCGCTCCCCTGTCTTGGTCTAGTGCAACCCCTCCATGGAAACATCTCTTATAACTCCATCACTGCTCCTTACCCGCATGGAACAACAGCTCAGTTAACTTGCGAAGAAGGATATTTCGTAAGAGGCAACGCAATTGCAGTATGCAATAATGGTATTTTTGACATCATAGGGTATTGTGATAAGAACAACGTCTGAATGTATCTAGCTTTCGCAGAAGTGCCTGTTTGTACAGAATGAGTTCAGTTGTTCTTCTATTTGCTGTTGGACATCGAACAAGTAAAGATCTCTCCTATATAAATGTTTAAAGTATCAAATAAAATCGCAACTTGCCAATCGACATCACAAGGACGAATCACCTTGTTGTCGTTACCCGTACTTAGGTAACTGAACCATGATAGATTTTCTTCAAGCAAGCAAACGTAAAGTGTAATCAACTTATGTAAATAAGGGAGTATTTGAAGAATTTACGTACAAGGAGCGCATACAAATAAGACAAAAGCTTGAGTTTTATTGATAAAAATTATTAACGATGAGTATATGCACATTTACTCGTTCGGCTGTTGGCTCCAACACTTTTCCTGAAGTTGTAATCGTCTCTATCCATGGAAATCTTTTTCCCAAAGGAAATGTCGTACTCAACTGCATCGCAATCTGCGATAATGAAGCTGCCAAATCGACGGACCGTTTTATTACAGGCAAGATGTGGTACGCAGATGGTAACATATTTCGGGATTTCATGGACCTGTGGCCATTATTTGGATTATAAGTTCACTCTCCTTTAAAAGACAGTTGGTCTTTTTTACCGTTTCCACTATAAAAATTGCCGAGCAGATGACCAAGGGACAGTCTATGTACTGCAAACTGTTAGAATCTCATCTCCAATTGCATAACATTTCCAACCGAAACTCATTGAAAATGAAGTTTTTCGCAAGAACTTCATTGAAGTAGATTTATACTGAGTTGGTGCAGAAGTTCTTGCGCATCATTTTTGAAATCATAAATTCTTGCTATTTCAACGGATTGGCACAAACTCAATTTTGCCAGATAGAGGCCTTCTCTTCGTTATGTTGCACTTGCCGCTCTTTAATAAGGGGCAGCTTTTGACATGGAAGGAGGAAAATAAGATCACTTCAACATTTTTAGTTTAGTTTCTTTTAGTTTTAGTTGAGCTTCAGAAATCTGAAACTTGCGATAAAATTTCCACCAAGCCATATAGTAACTCCTTTGATCCAACCTTTCCAGCACTGCAAAGTCTTTGAGCAATGATCATTTCTGCGAAGAGCTATGATTTTTGGACAAGCTCTACAAAACAGCAGATTTGATCTTTTGGCTTTCTTTCAAAACCATAATTTTTCACATGCTCGTTGAAACAAACTTTGCACTGTTGGGAAGAGGCGAACAAAGGACTTACTATACCGACTGCTGGGAATTTTCTCCCACGTTTCAGATTTTTTAGCAGCCCAGCTCAAAATGACCGAAGTTGAAGTGATTTTATTCTCCTGCTTCCATCTCAAAGTTTGTCCCTACCAGAGAACGGCAAAGGAAACATCACAAGGAAAAGGAGTTTTTATCTAGCAAATTTAAGTTTGTGAGAATCTTGAAAAAATGATGGGAAATTTTGCAAGAAATTTTGCATTAACCTAATATTTCGAAACAATTTTCCACGAAAAGATTAACTTTGGTCTCCTATCTGATAATTGTTAGCTCTTTGAAAAGTTTTATGTACAAAATTTAGCGGACTTTATCGAATCTAAAAGTGACACTCTACAAATTTTGGAAATATATCTTGAATGCGGAGCTATGTTCTCAATCGTTACACAGAAACTGGTAGCAATGAGCGAAGCACCTGAGCCGTTCAATTTCCGTGTGAGCTCGGGTGTCCACACTAAAACTAGGTTAACACGGAAGAAAAGAAAAAAAAGGAAACCACAGAAGAGAAACATTTTGAGTAACCTAGTAGTTCATTCTTGCTGACCTCCCACTTGAAAGGAAAGAAGCTCTTTTGTTCGCGACTGTCTATACAGCAGATGAGCGATACTTTATTAAGACATCATGACGTAGAATTGAAATGTGTTCGATTGATAACATGATAAATGCTAGGAAATGCACGCCAAATCTACAAATACGGTCTGAGATTAGTTCTGTCAGATAAATGCCTGCAGTCGCCAGAGAATTCAAGGCGAAACTTTCCTTTTTCCACTTCAACAAACTTGCTGATAGTCGCCTGACCAACATGGATATACTGATCATGCCAAATTTTGTGTATGCAAGCGATAGGTCCGCCATGACTCACAAAGAGGAGGTCATCTGAAATGCAATGATAACAAGAAAATGGCTCTCCAGTTGCATGACATGTTTTACCAAACGTTTGAATAGCGATATCTGACAAGTTATTGAATTTCAGACACTCGCTTTTTTGAGTGTGCGCTACCACTTTTACGTGCTTCTAACTACATATAGAATAGGTTGATGTTGCATCATTCACAGGGTTTCTCAAAAGTATTGTAGCCTGAGTTTGCATCGCTTCAACTATCCGTTCAAGTTTACCATTGCATTTACCAAATTTGCTGTTAATTTTTTGACTTCGAGTTGGGTTGGTGGGGATTTGTAAAATGCTTGAATGAGATTGCTGATGAAGAGCGTAAAAGCTTATTGTATAATTTATTGCGTTCATCGATTTATCGATTTTGTCACGCGCGGTGATGCATGAGAACTGGTACAGGTGTTAGAAAATTTTCAAGAAAACAAGGTGGGCAGAGAAGTGGATTATTGGCACCTCACGGCACCTCACAAAAACAACTGATTTCTGTTTTGCTAAACTCTCAAAACAAAGTAGTTCACAAAAAGAAATTATTTCGATTTAATACCGAAAGCGTCAAGATGTCCTATAATTTACTATCATTCTTGAATGCTTTCGTACCTTGTATTTTATTTCAAACGTATTCCAATACAACTTCTATGAAAATTAATCCAGTTTACGGGGAACCGAAATTTTCCTCACACACTTCTGACACCTGGTTATCTGCAGAATGAATGGAACAAAACTGCTTTTTTCCCCTCGCATATTAGGGTGTCCCATATTTTTTACTGTTTTTACTAACCGCCCTCTTTTTGTATTTTTCTTCAATCAATGTTGCTTCAGTAATCATTCGACAGGCCAAAGCCAGTTCTGCAAGAGGGCTATCAGCAATCCGCCCAAATCCTATTCCATGTAAAGTGCTGAGCTCAAATCTGATAGCAGTCAAAGGTGAACTTATCCTTCAAAATCGTCTCCGGCCCAAAAATCCCATTTATCCCGGCATGGGCTTGACACATCAAATTTTCAACTGTACAGTTTCCGATTTTTCCATGGCTAAACATAAAGAAAAAATGAATGGGGAAAATCCAAACTTGGCCTCTAGATGTCCTGAGCTCCTCCCACGCACGTGATCATACAGCTCATAGATATGGACGTACTACCACGTATTTGTAAACTTTGTAGGTTCCTCATTTCTCAAGAAATGCTGATGTTTAGGATAAAAACGGCAAAGAAATTATGGGACACCCTAATATAGATATTGATGATGAGATATTTTTTGAATAGAATAGCTCATCGTCTCTCGGTGAAATTTTTGCACGATTTTGGCACTGCAAAACACGCATTAATTGAACATTAGAAAGCTCGAGACCTATGCAAGCTAGGTATATTACTAAATGACCTGTATATCTTTGTGTAAGTCGTGTGATAGTGTAACGAATTCGTGGTATACATGCTGGATCTCCAAATTCCATCCTGGGTAGTTGTCGCTGAAACAGGGTAGTATGAAGTTTTTGTTATTGTGGTTGCAGCATGCATGAGTTTACAACTGCACCATAATCAGTAGAAATGGAAGTATTAGAGGCAGTGTCCAGGCAAGACTTGACACATGGTGATCTTACGTGGATGGTAATTTTGGGGCCCTAACTCTAAGTCACTGCCCAACCGGCAGCTCAGCTAGTGCTAACGTTGAGATATTCCTCTCGAAACTAGACCCCACCATCTATTTCGCAGGGATTCATGGCGCAAAGCGTGAATCCTGGCGCGAAACTGCTATGAATCCATGCGGATACGATCGCGGAGTCCAGTTTCGAGGGGAACATCTCAGCCGTTAGAGCACTACCTGCGCTGCCGCTTGGACAGTGCCTTAGTTAGGGCCCCAAAAGTACTTTCCACGTAAAATCCCCATGGGTCCAAATCTGCCTGGACGCTGCCTTTAACAGCATGTGAGACAATCTCTACACCTACTGTCGTGGCTCCACGATGCAGAGCGCTCCTCGGAACAGGTGCCGGGGCGCTGTATGCCGCTTTTACATGTCGCGCCTTTTGTAGGCTGTCGCAGGACCACCTCCGGCTTGGAGGGCTGCCAAGTGGCGGCGTATGTAAGGCTGCGCGTGAGAGCAGCCCTCGCCTCTTTGACATTCGTCTTTATTACTAATTATCTTGTATTATACTTGGCTACGTTCTGGGCAGCTCCCGTGGTTGAGGATCTCTTGTTGAGCGGTTGAGCCCTTTGGATCTTGTGGATAGGACGCGCGTTGGCACGGGTAAACCAGGAAGATTGTAGATGAACATTGTCGCGGGAGTGCAGCTGATGAGTGCACCGCTCCATGGGACTGGGCCTCCAGCGGCCGACTCTGTGGAGGAACCCAGAATTTTTCGGTTGGATTGAGCCTCTTGTACATCAGCAGCACAGGACGCGCGGCTCGTCCTGTTCAGTAGTTTGGTCATTCTCTTTAAGGGCCTAATAGTTTCTTTTTGTATATATGTTTTATATTTATTGTTTTATGTATATAAACTCAATCTAATTATATTTGTGTGTTGCATATGGGTTGGATAGTTGAGTGACCGCGTCGAGTAGACGCGCCGGAGTGCAAGTCGACTGCGGATTCGTAACGTCCTAGGTGTAGGATTGTGGTGTGTGGCCGTCGAGCACACGGGTAGGGGTGCTTTTCTGGTGTAGGTGTGCGGCTGGGCCCATCCCCACTGCCTTTGAAAAATTTAAGCAAACTTTTTGATGTGTATTACATTACATAACAAGACGCCACAACCACTGGGTATTTTTTGTGAAATGAAGTGAAAGATTTATATTGACTTGCTAAGCATACACTTGGTAGGCTATGTATACGTGTCCCAAAAGTCTTGTAGCCCTACTTTTTTTTTATAAAAACAGAACGGAACAACATACAGCTATAAAATTTGGTGCACACATTACTCAAACAATAGCAATTATGATACATCATTCAAACTTTGATATAGCATCTTTTTACGTTGGCACATGACGTGGTACGCAGGTTATCATCACAACTCTCCTTTTACGCCTTTGCGGTAATAGCTCATATTGCTTAAAAATTGCGCACCATGGTAGGTCAAGTTTTCATCTACAACATGCTACAAAGTAGTTTTTTCAAATTTTTAAGATAAATCTTGCGAAAATTAGGACTGAAATTATAGAAATTTGACTGCAGGCATAAAATTTTGGATGCAATCGACTGAAAAAAAAATAGAAAAACGACTTCAACAAGGTTTGAGAGTGACTAAATCAGCCGTGTCAAAATAGGTTCTCATATAAAAGAGACATGAAGAGAAATTACTTTAGATCCAGTGAAATGCTGCACTTTTACACACTTGAAATTGATATCAGAGATCTACTGGCCGTAGCACGCATTCAAAGTTCCCAGATTTTTTTCGCGTTTTTCGATAGAATAGATTGAATACAGCTATCATAGCGATGGTAGTGCAAATGCTCTATACTGTGGATATGAAATTGTAACAGAATTCCAAGTACTAAGTTACGAAATAAATAATGAACCTCGAGAACATAGATTTTTGCGTCCGCGAAATGTTTTAGCTTGATAATTCCATTTTTTCCAGGCACAAATGAGGATTACTTTAGAATTGCGAACATGTATTTGTAGAAAATAGCTGTAGCAATCTGTGGCACACATCTGAATTTGAAACACCACCTATCTACAAGTTACCGTAGTGCGAACCCAGGCTACAAGACTTTTGGGATACCCTGAATAGCGCCACTTCAATGCTGACACCATTGCCTGTCGCAGTCGTGCCCGGCGAAGACACCTACGCGCTAAGGATAGCTATGTAAACCATATTGCAAGGTTTCGCGCCTATCACCATTCTCCACGCTCAAGTGTTTTCTGAAGCACTGAGAACTATGCTGAATGTGAAAGTACTAATTAATACGCCCGCGTCCCTTTTAACCTTTCAGTAAGGATATGTTAAATGAAGGTGGGCTAACAACTTGATGAAGAAGACCAGCGTCCTGCGAGCAATTATATCGCTGCGAACTGCGGCTTATACACCCTACGGCAATAGAACATCTTCGCTCTTGGATGGATGGATCTGTAATTTCAGTAGACCTTACTGAAATATTAGGTTGGCTAATAAATAAGTCCGGTCGCTTTTTCAGCGCTTAAGTGCTGTAGACAAATTTTTGCTCAATGTTTGGTATCTCTGAAAAGAGCACTTTATTGGGTACTGGAGCATGTATTCTGTTTACGAAAACTTATCTTCCCAGGAAAAAAATCCGCAAAGAAGTGAAAAATCGCAATTTTCCCATAGTGCGCAAATATGAGAAAACTTGGTTTTCTTAGTGAAACATTTTCAAAATGGCAGATCACAGTTCGTTTTGTTGTTCACTAAATAGGGATAACTCTTCTGTATCCAAACACCAAACTGCTGTTCTTTACATTAATTACAGCATGAAAACGAAGCTCAAGAAGTCAAAGAATTGAGCTTTTGGAAATTTCGCCATGTTAGGCATAACTGTCTTTACTGACGATAGAAAGTCCTGATTATTTGATATGTGATATAGGAAGCTTCAAAACCACTTTCCAGCAAAAAATCATAAATTTAAAACAACAAGAAATTTTTTTATAACAATTTGTATGCCAAAACGAACTTACTTTTTAGCCAACCTAGTAGATAATATCTAACCTTTGAATACACCGGCGCATAATTAGCATCTATGAGTGGATATTTCAGCTTGAGCTTAGCCACATCCCAGAAAGATGGAGGATCTTCGCAGTGGTGAAGCGATTCACAAAGTCCTGGCTCTGCCTGAAACCCTCATTACTCATAAGTTATACATACAGTTACATATAAAATAAATACTCCGAGCCTACCTTGACTAATAGATTTTTCCCTGCCACAATAGTGGAAGCTGTTTCGATGGTTCTGTCATAGGGAGAAGCAAATACATTTGCGATCTTGATGTCACGAAATCTGCAGTGATTTTAGGTTGATAACGGCATCCGCATGAATGGTGCAGAGCTTGCTCTGACCTCGCGCCACATTCCCTAGCCTGCTGACGTCCTCGTTCGCTTAACATGGTGTTATCCGGTTTCAGATCTCTAGCGCCTGGTAACTTCTCCCAATTTTCGTTCACGTTATCCTCCCTGAAGATATTCATGGCGTCAGTAGTAAATGTGAAGCATCGCACCTTTCCGCATGCCTAACAACCCATATTGCTCTGTTCATCACTGACCATACAACTACAACAAGAATAAAAAATAAATGTGACTGCGTTCGCTTTCATCATATAAAAATATTGTACACAAGCCAAATTCATTCTAACTTGAATGTAGTGCGTAGTAATCACCTGCACGCTTAACTTGGTAAAGCTCGTTTCTTGGGGCTTGGGATGCAATTTAGTAGCATATTATTTAAAAATTTAATATTCAACTGAGCAGTGTGTTTTCAATTTTTGGAGCGATCAAACGTTTATCAAATTCATCCGCTCATAAGGGGTAAAGACAACGTACGTCAGGTCTATAATCGTCAAGCGGCATCCCAAACGGTATTCAACGCGACTTTCCAGGCATTTAAATGTTGCTTTGTGAACGCTAAGATAACCATGATCACTAAAATCTTAAACCAGTGGCTTTTCCATGTTCAACTTTAACCATTTTACAAAAGTTTCGGCCACTGCTCTTGCTTTAGGCATAACTGAATTTTCAAAATTCGTCAATTTATTCTTGTGATGTCTCAAACTCGGTCAAGCTAAACTTCATAAAACTTCCACTAGCGAGCTTTTCGGATGTCATTATACAGGGTGTTCAAAAAAGATGTGCACTGTTTGATTGTCAATACTCTCTTGTAATGAGGTCTCTCAAGAAGCTTTGGGTACCATTTTATAGAGCTGGCTTCAACATAATGTTAGATTTACAGTAAAAAACGAACTAAGCATCTACCATCATTCAGTGTTAGGAGGTAGAAACTTACAGCATATGGCGCCACTGTGAAAAAGGCCGTTTGGAAAAAAATTTCAAAAAAAATCTGAAAATTGTGTAGCAAAGTATTCATGCATGCTGATTTGAGTGCACAAATTTTTGCGCTTTCGTAGAGCCTTAAAAGGCCTAATCAGGTTTTTGACTAAAAACAAATCGTTTATTGTAGTCTTTCATAACTTATGAAAAGTGCGGTACGGTGAAGTGCGAGCATTTTTGAAATCACCGACTCCGACTAACCTAGTGTAGAAGCTTTCAGCTTCTTTGATTCTTTTTAGGGGTGAAAAAATGATCCTTATTCACTCAAGACCCACCTCAAAGTATCTACCGACGGTGGTGGTGGTGTAATCCTACAGTAATGGAGAAGGATTTGATTTGCACCATACTGTAAATCTAAGTTGGCCAGCTCTACAAAATGGTTCCTAAAGCTTCTCGAAAGACTTCATTGAAAGAAAATTGTTAACAATCAAACAGTAGGTACATCTTTTTGACCACACCTTGTATATTAGATTGTTACATAAGTTTTGTTATGTTTTAAATTATTACCGTAAAGAAGTCATATCTTTCCAATTTTTATCAAGTTCTCTTATTCGATAAAACGGAACAAGTTCTATAATAAATGATGATAAATTAAAGTCGCATTCAACAACCTCAGAATATTAGGTCGTTCCGAAAGTAATGTCGCTTTTTTCGAATGAACGCCACTATCCGTGGAATCATTTTCGAGAGCTTTTAGGAGCATTCGATGCAGCATTGCATCCTCTTCCTAAACGTTCTAATTTCACTGCATGATGTTTAGTGAGCTCTCGAAAAATTACCAAAATCTGCGACTCATGCTTTTTGCCATGGTCAAGTTCGGCTATTTTTCTCAATTTTTGTACCTAATCTCCGGAAAAGTACAAGTGGCAGGTAGATAGAGCAAACATTATAGAATACAGAGTAATTTTTTCTTTTCCCTTAGGTCGCTTCTCAGAGTTTCTACAATCAATTTCTCAATGCCATCAAATTCCATATTTAGTCAAGTCAAACCTCACAGAACAACAACCGGCAAGCGACTCGGCTGTCATTCGATGCAGCTTTTTCTCCTCTTTCTAGCGGTCATTTTTTTCGATTCATCAAGTTTTCCAGGATAAAATTATCATTATTCAACTTTTCCAAGGCACCCCAAGAGTGTACCCGAAATTTTCGAAAGTTGCTAAACGAAGCGGTGAATGCTCGTTTGGTTTGTAAAATTGTTGCCAAACCATAATCCATCCTTGTAAGTTTCAAAATCTGGAGACTTGTTGGCGTTTGATTTACTTGTGTCCGAGACGAGCCTGCTAAAATTCGGTGGTTCCATCGAAAAATCTGTACAAAAATTATGAGGAGCTCTGAAAAGTAGAAAAAAGTTGTGCTGTTTTCTGTAGGGTTTGCTCCATCCATCCATTACTTGGACTTTTTCTGAGGTTTGTTATAAAATTTTAGAAAACTTGTGAAACTTGGTCATCTCAAAAAGCATAGGTCGCAGATTTTGACTCTTTTCTGGAAGCTCATTGATTGTATTGCAACATCTTATAACCTTTAGAAAGGAAATGAAACGCTGCATCAAATGCTACTAGAATCGTTCTTACGATATTTTTCGGTATGCCTCAAAGTCCCGAATATGGAATTTTCTGACTTTCCGCATACTGAACAGTTGGATGTTTTTGCAAAAAATGGTAATGGGCTGCACTAGCATTACGCTTACAGAATTGAGCAAAGCTTTGGCAAATGGCTTTTTCAGTAGAAATTTATGAGTCATAACCGCAAGCGCTACCCATGTTGAGAAGCCAATATCTCAGTCCGAATAACTTCAAAACTTACAGTTGAGTATGCATGATGTACACATTATCTATGCCAAACCACAGCTAAATTTTTGAAAAAGCGCCATTTATGCGCTCTCAAATTCTGGCCAGAAAAGTGAATATTTAAATATTTTTAAATATTTTATTTATTTATTTATTTGCGAATATTCAAAGCTCAGTGGCTTTATAACAGATGAGGATGGAAGCCCGCTTCAACGAGCATTATATGGCATAGAAATGGCTTCTCAGTGGTATGCTATATCTGTTCCAAAGAATAAGGTTTGGCGGAAAAAAGTTGGTCTGGAAAAAGGCTTGGAAAACCGGCCATTATTTTTGCATCAACCTAATAAAAACTTAAAAATTCATACGCTCTTTTTAGCCCTAATTTTTCCCCAATTAGAAGTCAGAAAACGAAAATATTTATGCTTTCGCCAAAGCGACGCCGTGCTATTCACATGGGTAGTGTATTACTCCCATTTCCGAGAGTCAACCGCAAATCTTCAGCTCTCTGCAAATTCAAGTTTTCAAGTTTTCGGAGAACACGATTTAGCATGAAACGCCCTAGCAAGAAAGGGCAAACTTGTAATTCTCGAAACTAAAGCTTGTAGAAAGCTAAATTGCGTATATAGTTATAAAGGTTTGTGTTATACGAACTATTTGAGAAGAGCCCGGCATCGCTTTGGTGAAAGAATAAAGTTTTTTGTTTTCTCGTTCAGCGGAGGAAAGAATAAAGCATCGTTATATGCAGGATGTTCCAAACATATCCCTACCTTTATCGTTAATGACTCTTATTTTAATGTCTTTCGATGCTGTTTGAATATCGTTCTGTGGAGCTGGCTTTGAACATATTTACAGTGTAGAGCAAAATATTATGGCAAGACCTCGCAGCATAATGGCGCCACTTTGAGGATGATCGATCAATAAAAAATTTCAAAAAGATTGAAAAGTTGCTTAAGAAAGGTTCCGGTTGGTTGTTTCATACTGCCGCACTCAGCAGACTGCAGCAGACTGCAGCAGACTGCAGCGGACTGCAGCTGACAGCACTGATCGAGTGGCCGCACCGTTCGCTGCTTTCTTTCGTAAAACGGAAAGCAACTGTGATTACGTCAAAACACCGTGACTTACGCCTAAAAGATCATAAATTCTAATTCACTCTTCTCAATCGAACTTTGGCAATTGTTTTTCTTTACTATGTTGGTATTTGTTCTGTATTCTATTTCTCCCCATATGACTGTTTTGTACTGCTCTCGCTGGAAACCATTATCCGTCGGAATCCGGCGCTTAGCTATAGTACATAGCCAGCGCGACCGAAAAAGGCAACCAGGATGCCTCTTTTCCTTTGGCTATCAATTTGTTTAACACCTTGCAATAGTGTTGAATATTTTAGTTGTGACTCATTGCTATAATGTATTCATTTTCGGTACTCCACTAAATAACTAGGTCTGCATGTTTGTTTAATGATACTTATGTTTCTCTTGAATTGATATGGAATGTATCAAGATTAGATCTACTAATTGATTGCCAAAGATGTAAAGTGAAAAGGGGTTTCCAATGTTAATAACGGATATTTTTACATGCTTGCCCAACTTGTTATATGTTTACGTATGGAGATACATGCAACACTTACGACACTTTCCTTCGAAGTCATTCTCATCCTCACAGATATGCTATATGATACTTCTACGTCAACTTGACTTGGTGGCCCTAATGTAAAGCATGCATACGATCAACGAAACTCTATTAATTCTCATGCAAATAATCTAGAGAGTAAAGCACACATATTAATTGAGGACAACTTTATGACGTGATAACCAAGAGGAAAAGAAAGATAAAAGGCATCAGGCATCCTGGTCGCTTTTTTTGATCACGTTGGCTAGGTACTGTAGCTAAGGTTAGCGCCGGATTCCGACGAATATAGGTTTGTTACTCTCGCTCGTGTTAACTTTTGGTTTTAGGCGTAAATTGTTGTCGTTGTTGTTTGTTTAAGCCAAAAACTTATCCTCTCCACCTAGCCCTCAATATGGATCGCAACATCGACCGCAAAACGCTTGCCGCATTAGTGGAGCTTATGGTATCCTGGTCACGATCATTTCCACAGGAAGGACAAAAAAGATGAAGCCTGGGAGAGGACTGTCGAAAAGGCGAGGCGCAAAGGAATAATTTGCGATGGTGAGTAAGTTCCGTTTTAAGTATGAACTCAGACAACTTTCAGTGAAGTTTTTGAAGTGTCAATGGAGGAGCATGCGGGACGGCTATAAAAGAGCGAGGAATCCGCGAAGCGGCTCTGCAGGAAGATCCAGTGGATTCAATCAGTGTCTGAGCTTTTTGGACCAGGCGGATGTGGGAGGGTATCTAAAAAATTTAACAGCTCGTAATTCCAGAGCAATATTCTATTTTCCGAGTGCGTTCGTCGAACATTGACGAAACA